GGAGGAGCAGGAGGAGGAGGAGGAGGAGGAGGAGGAGGAGGAGGAGGATCTCAGTAAGAAGATTACAGAAGCTGACTGCAGCTTTGCAAGCGGTTCCCTGGATCACAGTGTGCATTAAGTAGCTCAGCCACAGAATAGGGAATGAGATCAGAGTGTGTAAAGAGAATCGTGAGCGAGAATCACTAAATCAGAAGAATACTTCAACCTTATCCGTACGCCCTGGGGTCATTTGTACCCCCCTGAATTGAATTGTTCACATTTTAGAATACTTCTAGTTCGAAGATCTTTTTGGAACTTTCAGTATTTCTCACCAAAAATAAAAAATCATTTTGAAAAAACTGCTATGCAAAGCGTATGGATCGGATTAAGGAGTTAATTTCCTCTTTAGAAAGTGGTGGCACAAAGTTCCCCACGTCGAAAGGATACGATAGTAAAACACGACGTACGGATAGGGTCAAGTACATCTGCGTACTGAAGGTTTTGAAGTTTTCAGCAAATAGATATTTGAAAGCCTGTAAAAAATTGTAATAGTTTACATTAGACACTTGCTAGGAAGTTGAGAACGTTTTGGAATGTTAAAAGTCATTGGGGGCAATAAATTATAATAAAGCCTTTAGGTCCTTTTTTCTATATTATGCTTTGTATAAATTGTTATTATTATTATTATTATTATTATTATTATTATTATTATTATTATTATTATTATTATTATTATTATTATCATTATTATTATTGTTATTATTATTATTGTTATTATTGTTATTCTCAATTTTATTATTATTATTATTATTACGATTATTATTATTATTATCATTTTTTTAAAAATTATTATTATTGTTTTTATTGTTACCATCATTTTCCTATAACTGCAATCATTTTTGTTAATTTTTGTACTACTTGTATTTCTATTAGAATCATTATCATTTTATAGTTATCACATTACTTTTTAACTTTCGACACATTGTGCATTTCACTGGAAACGGTAAAATGTTCATCCTGTTGATAGGGTGCTAGTGTTCATTTTTTCAAACAATTCTTTGCTCCTCACTAATCGATTTCCCTTTACTCGTGAGAGCAATGAACCGATATTGCGCCATTAAGAGTGGCTGGTTCAATTTGTTCGCTTAACTCTCCAACACGTAGCGAACACATCAAATAATGGTCTCTTTTAAGGACAAGTGGGCTTACTCAGGTTTCAGGGGTTCCAGAAATCTTGACATACACCAAAAGTGGGCATTGCCCTTCCTACAGGAGAAGTTTGATTTCATTTGTGTGTATATTTGTTTGGTTATAGAAAAAACTCTCCTTGTCTTTTAAAGAAACTGAACAAGGGGCAAAAACTTTACCTTCGATTTTCTCAAAACGGCATTTTTCGGGATAGCCCCCTTGTGACTAAAAGCGGCCATATTATATTCGACAAAAAGAAGAACGAGAGTAAACCCAATGAGGACGAGCAGTCTGTTTTTGACAACATATTTGGAGGTCTCGAATCTTTAATAACTCTGCGTTTCTCTCTGTTTCTGTGTATGAGCATGTCTTTGTGTGTGTGTGTGTGTGTGTGTGTGTGTGTGTGTGTGTGTGTGTGTGTGTGTGTGTGTGTGTGTGTGTGTGTGTGTGTGTGTGTGATGTCTCTTGGTGGCGGCCGAAGCCTACTCTTTTCGATTTTAGAACCACCAAGGGACCTTTAATATGCACAACTTGCACACGGAATCTCCGAGATGTTTCGCTTTTATCCGAGAAGGTTAAGTGTTTGATCAAGGGTGTGGCTAAAAGACAGCAGTGAGATGGAGCTGAGGAGTGGCAGTAGAAAGACTGCAGAAGCCCAGAGGATGGGGAAAAGGGGAGGGGGGGCAGAAAGTGGAGACAAAAGCAGACGATAGGATCTCGTCTGTAATCTGCTTTCACGTCACCCCGTAGCCAGTTAAGATGGGGCTCAAGTTCCCATCATCCTCTGACACTATCTCTCTCTCTCTCTCTCTCTCTCTCTCTCTCTCTCTCTCTCTCTCTCTCTCTCTCTCTCTCTCTCTCTCTCTCTCTCTCTCTCTCTCTCTCAGTCACCCCCCATCTATCTATCTATCTATCTATCTATCTATCTATCTATCTATCTATCTATCTATCTATCTATCTATCTATCTATCTATCTATCTATCTATCTATCTATCTATCTATCTCACACACACACACACACACACACACACACACACACACACACACACACACACACAAACTCACACACAAAGACACGCACAAAGCAATGCTCATACATAGAAACAGAGAGAAACGCAGAAGATGTAAATAATAATAATAATAGATAGCATTTGTATAGCGCATATCCCCGCTCAGCAGCAGGCTCTATGCGCTTTACACTATATTATTACCCCAGCAGACCATAGAACACTCCGAAACATTCTCAGCTTCCCGGGAAGCATACAGTGCAAGCAGCCGATTAAGCGCTCAGACACTAACAAACTGACAAGATCTTTCGCTGTCTATAGCCGGGTACCCATTCCCACCTGGGTGAAGTGAGGAAAATTCGTGTAAAGTGCCTTTCCCAAGGACTCAACGTCGGGCCTCTGACGGGATTCGAACCCACGACTTTACGGTTGCTAGTCCGAAAGCCTAACCAGTAGGCCAGGGACGCCACTTTGACCTATTGCACGTGCCCTAAACCGAATTGCCTTCTGGGATCAATAAAAATGTTATTTTTGTTTGTTTACTAACTTTTTCATTTAAAAAAATACAAAAAAAACTAAACTAAGAGAGGCTGTAGTGTCAATGTGCTTCTCTTTGCTCCAG